TTACTTGGAAGTGGGACCTGTGGGTGCTCAGATTGGTTGGCTTCACCTAGATGAAAGTGAGAGATCGAGTTGTTTAACGCCGACGGCCACTCTTGCGGCCGCTTCGGATGGCACTACATGGGTAGTCAGCGCGACCCGACGAGGAGAGACCTCATCCCAACGATTCCGGTGTTTGGTCGACATGGTCCCCTTGTAACTGACCAGTGACCATCAAACCAATACGCAGTTCCGCTCGCCAGCTTCGGCGTACTGAGTGGGGACGCCGCCGGGCTGCCACACCGATCGAGCCTTTGGCCGACTCGGGTAACTGGTTTTGTGTGCGGGCTGAATTATTTTGTGCCCCGCGGAGCAAGAAGAAGCAAAAGCAAGGATATGTAAGATAAGCGTCGTCGTTCATGTCCCGGTGGTTATGATGGTTCATAGGGGTGGTCAGGGACAATAATCCACAATGCTAACGTAAGAGCACGTGCAAGTTTGGATGGCAGGAACGACAAACATGTTCATAGGTTCGAAGGAGTGATCTCCGTTCTAGATTCCTAGCTGTCCTTGAAGCATCATCACTAATTCAGCGTCGCACACCGTAGCTTACACTCGCCGTCACCGTCTTTGTTATGCCATGGGGGGGCTCGCCCTCGCCATGGTGCTTGTGGCTTGCCGTGGCACCCCCAAAAACACTCTCGTCGCTTGACAGGGCATCTGCGTTGTTACCGAGGATTTTAGTGGAGTTGGCTTGATGTCCGTCGTACTGTCGATGGCCTAGCTCGTACGAGGTGTCGTTAAACGCACGGTCACTGCTCGCCTCGTCGACAACTAGGGTCTTGTCGTTACGAGAGGAGACCTTAGAGCGGACCTTGCCAGTGCCGCTGGTCGTCTGGCGCCAGTAGCTGCCGCCCCCTGGGGTCTTTCCAGAGTTGCCGTGCGATCCGGAGGTTGTTCCTAGAATGCGCTTGAATAGTGGTCGCAGTGGTGGGATGTTCGCAGCTACAATGCCCGTATTGCACTCGACTATGGTCCAGATGGTAATATCGCGCGAGTCCCACAGCCAGTCCCCCGTCTTGCCATAATTGACAAGTGATGGAATCTTGATGAACGCAGCCGCGCAAGCGAAGGTGCCGAGGCCAAGTGCGCCGAAGAGCGAAAGACGTGTTCGACGGTTGACGTTAAGGTTCCAGAGCATGGGGACCGGGATGAACAAGGCAAACGTCAAATCTGTGAAGAGGCTGACCGCCAAGTTCGAGTACGACAGGCCGTGGAGAGTAGTCTCGCTCCAGCACTGCAACGGAATCGTCGGGTCCCACAGGGCACGGATGTCTTTGCATTGCAGCAACAATGTCTAGCAATCCAGAAAGAAGGTTAGGTGACGGCGGCGTGACCGGGGAAAGCAGGCAGACACTCACCATAACGCACATGGTAGTCCACATCACCATGAAGCACATCAAAGCGATGATGATACGCTTATACCAGTGTTCGCTAGCGATACGTAGCAGCATGGCGCCAACCGAAAGCTTTACCACGCAGATGGTGATTAGGAAGACCGCTTGACTGACAAAGTTCAGCTTCAGGCCCATCCCCAGATCCTGCAACGGTATATCGCCAAGGTGCTTGCCAGCACCGTTCACCACCGAGCCCCAGACAACCCCCTCGCCAGATATGGACAAGGCCATAGCCAAGGTCATGAAACAATCCTGTTTGCTCGCACATCAGCTCCCCGGCGAGCTGGTCCCACTTCAAGCGGTCTACTTACGTCCAAACCAGCACTACGCACCACCACGAATCGCGTGTACATGCGTGTAATGTAGGTGATGAAAGCTGCCACCGCCACTGTCATTGTCGCTGCGAGAATCCGACTGCCAGCATCATCGGCGGGATTGGAAGGGAGCGGGGGTATGTCTCCGGGTGTAGACATGTTGGCGAACCTGGAAAGTCGAATCGTGGACGTGAATGGCGCAGAAACTAATGTCTCGAGCGGCGACAGTTTCAACTTCCTGGACCACCAGACAGTCCTTTATAAGTGGAACGGCCTCTGTCCAAGACAGGGATAGTCTCGCAACAGGTAGCGATGACATCTGGTAGAACCTTGTTTCTGTGTCTTAACCTTCCTCAATCGGGAACTGGGGAATCACACCGGCTGCGGCTGCGCTCGAGCGCTCTAATAACCCCGAGGATCTGCGGGCACCCTCCCGCTGACTGGCCCAGAGCCACTAGCCCCGAATCAAAAACCACACAATCGAAATGGTTGATGTTCAAGCGGCCGATGTAGATCCAGCCATTGTCCCCGGCTTGATTAAAGTGACTGTGTACTCTGTTAGAGTAACGGTGTCTAACCCCTTCGAAAGACAGCACCTTGACATCACAACCAATATTGTTAGCAAGACCGCACGTTCAAGACCACCAACCATAGCGTCACCACAAGTTCGCTTTCCTCATTGAATTGGACGTTTCTCCAAAGACAGCCTGCGCACGCACGCAAGCATATAGGTACCTAAGAATGTTAGTGTCCGGGCCAAGTGGTAGCTTGGTAGTTATTACATCTGGCGTGTCGTTGCATCATTGAAGACCGCGGCAGGCAAGCCGACCGACATGGAGTGCAAACATGAACTGGCCAACCCGCATCTTCCCTGTTGCGCTCAGACGTTTCATTCGCCTACCTACCAGCATTGCCCAATCCACCTGGCTCGCTGCTCGCACCGGCGCATTACATACACAGTAAACATGCGATCGTCCTAGCCAAGCATTCCCTCGATTTATCCGCGCCAATAGAAGCTCGCCGAAAACCCCGGACAGCAAGGGACCAGGACCAGCACGTCTCATTCCACCTCCGATAATGCCCTAGTGCCCGCAACCCGTATTTTTCTACACAGTAGAAGTCGGGACGCGGCGCTGGGTCTGGTGAATTTCTAATATTCCCCGTCCCTACACAGTAGAGTACCGAACCCCAAGGCCTGTGCACTACGAAGGTTCGTGTGAGCAATTGGGTAGCGTATAGGTTGTACAGCTAATAGGGCAGTGGTTTGCTGGTAGCGGTCATCACCAGACGCGGTCGCACGCCCTGCAAACACTAACTGGGTGGCAAGTGTTGCACGGCAGTCAACCACCTAGTCAGACCGGTAATAGCTACGCTACCCTAGACCCCACTGTCCTACCGCTATCGCAGCCTTGATTCATTTGAGCTATCTTTAATACCATGGTCCCGGCCTGGCAGCAATTTTGCACATGGCGATGGCTCCAATTCCGGCGCCGGCAGTGGGACCTCAGCGAGCCCCAGCCAGGCAAGCGGTTGTCAAAAAAGAAGGGACCGCAAAATTCCAGCACGAGACCCTGTATTAACAGTAGCTCAGCAGCTCTCCTACTTTCCATCACCCCACCACGTAGGCCAGCCTCACAATTATACCTCAAAAGTAACGTTTAAAGATCAGAAAAAAAGACCAGATACCCAGGGAACATATATCGAGGTCATTACGAGGCTCGAGAGAAAATCAAATCAAAAGAGAAGCAAAAGAAAAGAAAGAAAGCAAAAGATATCGAAGCGTCGAGAACAAACTATAGGCGTAGGTCGGGAGATCTATTAGTGCAAAGCTGTCAAATGATCGCATCAGGTACCTACTGGGTACCGGTTTTGACAGGTAAATTGTACTAGCGGTTAGGAACCTACAGGTAATGAGTCTCTTTTATTTTGTCAACCGCTTGCCCGGTTCCAGCACCCTGCCGCACTTGCAGCGGGGGTCGTCCCTTTTAATGTTAAACCTCTTCTAGTACGAGCTAAAATTTCCATGTCCCGTTCTGAGGGCTACCAGGGTCGCCATCTGTGACCTGGTCAACTTGTTGTTGTCCGGGTACGAGCCAAGGCCCGACCTTTGATACTGCGCCGGGGCGTTAGCACCCCACCAGTCTTGTACGACCTTCTTTCGATATTCCCTGGCTATCGTTCTGGTCCTGGCCACTGTAGGGGAACTCGTCGTGGTCTCAATCAAAAGGTACAGTAGGAACCGAAATCAATATGCACGGTTTTAATGTTTTATTCTTTCTCCGCACAGGCTAGTCCCACCCCTAGCTGTGACTCACACAGTACGTCGTTGCCAAGTCTGTACCAAATACATATCAGCTAGAACTGGCCCAGCTATTAGTAACCCTAGCGGAAGTTAGTTTTAAAGCTGCTACGTAGCAGTGTCACGACCTAGAAACAGGCCAAGCCTCAGGCACCAAGTAGGGCATAAAGGGGCCAATCGAGAGTGTCCCGAGGAGGCTGAAGCTCGGGACACTGGCACACCAATCAACGAGGGCCCGAACTGGGCGCGATTCAGGACGGGCTGCAGCACCCGCGATCCCGAAGACTCGGGGCATCGGCACGAGATAGATATATACGCCAGACAGGCCCAGTCTATAGATAGTTTCCTTTGTTACCTTCAGTAACGACAACAACACTGCTTTGCACTCTTTGCACTGGAACATCTTTTGACTGCTCACGATCTACGTAATCTCCCACCACTTACCTCGTTTGCACGCCTCTATAGCATTCCAGCCAAGATGCTAGCGGCCGTATTCTCGGGGATGTTAGGGTAACGACAGCTGAATTCGAATTCCCACACACGAACTGGAAGCGTCTTCTGAAGGTTGAACACGCTGGGTTGATTCCGTCAGAAGCACTGCACTGCCAATTGAGGACGTAAACGGTGTGTTTGGCCCAGCTGAACTGACTACGCCCTGAGCCCATTTTCAGCTGGCATGACCACGCCGTCTTTTCTGATGGATCCCTCCATATGTGAGAGACTGTGGCCATGAGTCGTTGATTACTTGAGCTGCGCTTATCCTAATGAGGTTGGCTAGTGAGACTGTTGCTGCAGCGATCTCGACACGAGTGGTGAGAACCTCATGTTTGTGGTGTAACTGGGAACGAGATCCGAAGTGACGAGTACTGTTCTGATCATGGCTTGCTCTTCTCATGCACTAGAGCTTGATTCCAAGCTCTACCGTGGTGGCGAGCAAAAAAAAAAGCGAAAAAAAGGCCCGTCTAGGATTCGAACCTAGGATCTTGTGATATTTCAACGCCCAGTTGGGTCCAACCCACCGCTTCGGGCTGGGTTTGTCAGGCCCGTGGGATGGCCACTAGCGCCATGCTAGCCTCGAGGATAGCAGAGCCCACATGGTACCGTCCACGGTGGGTTAGCCGCGGCTCTAATGGGGTCTTGAAAATCTCATATGCTTGACTACTGCACTAACGGGCTATTTTAGTTGTTGCAGTGGAACCTAAAATTTGTATATATAGGGGTTCACTGCGATTTAACTGCAGTCCCCAACTATACACACCTCGATCGCAAACTCGGAAAACTACACGACAGCAGAACCTAACTGCACATACGTCCGCTTCTAATGGCATCATCCTCTCCGTTCGCCGACCTGCCTAAACTAAAGATCCCCCGATCAGGCGGGTTAAATCATTTGGAGAGAATCCTGGGCTTACTACAGGACTCTGATCCATTTTGTTTCTCGGATGCTCTGCTAGTTTCAATTGATCTTGAGGTCTCGCGAGATGAACGGAGCAAGTTCCTGCAATCTCAGGATCGGCCACTGATTAGTGAATACGGCATCGCTATCATCGATACTCGATATATAGGCGGTTGTACCGATGAAACAGGTTTGCGTCAACTTGTCTCAACACGACATTACTCAACTCGATTACCGCGGGTACCGATTCGAGAATGCATCTTTTCCCACACGATTCAAGTCGACTCGGACGAGCTTCCTTCCCTTATCGCCCAATCTCTTCTTGTTAAAAATACAAATTCAACTCCCCCTTCGACCTGTTTCCGGAATATCGCAATCGTTGGCCATTCTGTAAAGCGCGATCTACGGATTCTTCAACGACTAGGGATTGATATCCTCGGCATCGCGCCTCGCGTGGTAATTCTCGACACACATAATATGGCCCGCGACATTCTTGGGCCGACCTCAACTCGATTGGGTGGTCGCGCGCCTATTAGCTGCTTCACTTTATCGGCCGTATTGACAGAGCTGGGTTGTCCTTATGACTAGGCTAAACTCCACAACGCCGGAAACGACGCAACATATACCCTATTCGCTTTACTCAGGCTGGCTATCAGAAGCAGTCAAGCCAGAAACCTTAACAACACGGAGTCAGCGAGGCTAGAGCATCTGACTCGTATTACAGCACCCACCCAGGGATAACAGCTCTCGCCGTCTCCCAACACAGCCAGTTAGTACCCCTTGGAATTATATCTAGCCCTCTAATATTTCCCGCAGAACCCCGGGTGGATGGATTACGTTGCCGATGACGTCTAGGTTAAACGTATTACTCCTGGCACCGCAGCCAAAGGCGCCCACAAGGACATGGCGATAGGTGGCCGCAAGGGCGGTGGGAATGAGTCTGGTAATAGGCCGGTGCTGGTATACATATATGGATGCAGTATGAACACGGAATGAGATGTGATCAACTCAAAGCAAGTGAGCTATGGTGCTCTTCGCCTATCGTGTCGTATATACGCCACACCCATGCCGCGGAGTATACTCATAGCCATATCGGTCACGATACGCGGGTACGGAGCTTCTGTTCACACCAAAAGTTCTGTTGGAGCCCGAAATCCAATCTGTGGCCAAAAGTCCTAGTCCGACTAGACGTTCCGGTCAAGCTCAGCAGCGACTTCGAGAAGCGGCTCCCGAAACGCGGGGTCGGCTATGCAGGTCCAGGGCACTGCAACGGCGTCAGCGGGGAAGCGATACCAGAGCCGCCCCTTACAGCACATGAGCATGTCGTTAAGGGCGAGAAGCTCTACCGCCTCGAAGTGTATTTCGTTGCCGGCTCTGGTTACGATAAGGCTGGTGTTCTGCCTCGGGAGGTATACGTTTCAGAATTCTCCTCCGCTGGCCCTTTAGTTTAATTCTGTGCGTACAGGATACCCAACCGTGAGGGCCATATGATGGGGGTGTGTGGGTGAACTCATCCATAGATCTATCTGAGCTATGGTGGTGATGCGTGCTGGTGCAAGAAGGTGGAAAAGGCTAGAAGGTCCAGGATGGAAGATATGGTGTTGTGGGGCCTAAGGCACCCACCCCACAACACCATATCTTGGCATAGAGGAAGTGGTAGTGATATTTCTAGTATCTACCCTTGTCTCTGTCAGGGCACGACTCCAATGGATGTAAGGGTCCAAGTAAGTGGTGGTATTCGATTAGAATAAGAAGCGTAAAGAGGAAAGGAAATAGGTGAAGCCTGGATTCTGGAGCTAAATTAATGGTAGTATGCGGTGTGGGGCGCACAGACCACCTTGGGCCCTATGTGGGTCATGGACCGGCCGGGGCCGTGATACCCCTAACCCCCCAGTGCCCCCATGGCTGCATGGGAACGGGATCGGGTCGATGGATGGAAGGCCCAGACTTGAAACACCCATTCGCTCGTCGATCAACAAGGGGCAAGCAAACATCTCGTCTGTCGAAGGCGTCTGGCCCGAACCAGAGCAAGGCCACACCCCCAAAGAATGCCACGGGGGATCTCGCGATTGATACGGCTTCGCGACTTGGTGTCTGGTTCGCCGTGTGGACTTCAAGTTGCAGAGATAGTGAAGCCTGGCTATGCCAGCTACACCGCTGCACTTGGCAGCCCGAGGTGCCTTGGGTAGGTAGGTAGTTACCTTAGGTAGGAACTCGTACAGACGCACCGCAGTTCCGCATCGGCTCATCGAGGGCCGCGCAGGCGCTTACCAGAACGGACGAATTTCGCTGTCGCGACAGGAAAATGAGAAAAAACGGCTCGATGCGCAGTCGGTCAGACCGTCAGTGCACCTTCAAGTCTGCAGCCTCGGCACCCAGCTGCAAATTTCCGCAGCTTCCCGAGCAGGAAACGCGATACAATCGTCCACAGCATACGCCTCTGCGCTCCTCTCAAATCCTGTAGTTCCGCGATATTTGCGCTTGCCAACACACCGCTCACATGGCAAATCGAAACCCAATATAGACACCACCAGCGCGTCCACCAAACCAAACGAAGGCCACGACAAACCAGGCAAACCAGGCAAACGTCAGGCAAACGGAAGAAAAAAGAGTCAAATACCAGGCAAATCTAAGCCTTCGTTTATTTGGCTTTATTTACGTAGATTTAGTTACATTTACCTTATATAGTTAGCTTCTTAAGGTAGGTACTTCCCTCAAGTAGCCCCTCCTCCAGCCCCTCTTCAAGCCCCTTTTTGTTCCTTAGGTCTGGTCACGTGATCTATCACGTGCTATCACACGTGACATGGATGTGGTCGGTGCGAAGGCTAATACGAGAACAACAGCACCCCAAGCCCCCCGGGAGGCTCCCTCAACACTCAATAATTGTTAGTATGTTAGTCAGCCGTTTAAGTGAAAATTTGGCGCAAACCAGTAAACAAACGTTTTTTTTGATCCTGGTTTGCTCAAACCACGCGGCCTCTTCTCGCTTCAAATCCACGCAAATAAAAGCTGTCGTTTACCTGGTTTGGTTTGGTGGACGCGCTGGACACCACTCTTTGAAATGAGGGCAATTCCAAGAATGAAAATGCAGGACGAACTTCAGGTAACAGATCTGCGGCTGCCCTGCATGTAAGGACCTTCCCCCGAGGACAACATCGCCGGACGTGCAAATGGTGGCACACCCATCCCTAAAGTCCCCTGTACTTACTTCACACCACAGTACATTTCTACCAGGTTACAGTTGTAATCAAGTTCTAGGACAGCATTGGCGCCACCTTCGCTCTTCCGGCTCCCTCATTGGCGTAGCGGGTAGAGTCAGCCGCGAATAAATCCCCCACCGACTCGGGACGGGATCGAAACGACGTGCCAAAGATCAGGTCTGACTTCAGAAGGGGATGACCCCTCCCAATGCGCCTGGCAGACCCCCAGTGCGCCGGTCCTCTATGTATCGGTACCTCTACAGCCTTGAGGCTCTGTACACCGTCTTCTTGAAGACAACCAATGCTCTAGTTGCAGCCGGCTTTGATCAGTTATGCATCTCAGCGGGATCTCGATACAGGACCTTGACCTTCATGGACCGCTTCGCTAAATCCGTGAGATAGCGAGCCTGCTATTCTGCAAAATTGGATTTTTCGACGATCATGAATCCTACATTAGCCATGATGTAGTCGACAAGCGCGTGGCACAGTTGTAATCTCTCTCCGTTTGTCGCGCGCCGCCGGTTGACGACGTAAATGCGACTTTGGAGCGCACCCTGGGCAGCAAGTAGACAGGACTGATCACACTTGCCGGGATAGTGCTCCAGAAGAGCTACTTCAAAGTCGTGCTCGCAAATGGTAAGACACCACATGATGGTCTCGCTCGCAGAGACAAGGTCGTTGTGGCCACCCATATAGCCGCAGTTCCCGGATTCGAACAACAGAGTTCCAGCAAGATGCATATCGTCAGCCAATCGATCAGCTTCGAGCTTGGCTTCTGAATCTCTCCAGGCTTCGTCGCACGGAACGGCATCCGTCCCATATCGCTGCATTCCGCCCAAGACAAGATCGTGCACCGTCTCCCTCTGTCTGGAAAAGTCGGCTCCGAGGTGCTGATGATTTAGGTGGAGCTTAGTAGCCCTGAGGATATGCTCGGTCGTATCGGCGTGTTTCCGGTGTGCAAGCGTCTTGGGAGTGTACGCAAATTCCGACTCTCCTGCGCCTCGCTCTCGGCGCCACGGTCGGGGGAGCGTAGCCCCCGAATCCGACAGCTGCGGAAGGGTCCATTTAGTAAAGTTAGTCTCCAAAACAGGACAGAAAAAGACGTATTATAGGGAGGATTCTGATAGCCCTTTGTAGGTTTCGCTCACAAGATGGGTAAGGAGGAGCAGCATTTGATGGATGTCTTATTGACCGTGGAATATATAATTAATATGATGGTACCTCTAAAAGCCTTTCAGCTTATTTTATCATCATGCTAAGCTACCTACTTCCCCAGCTCACTGACAAGCACCCGGCTCAGCTCAACATTGCATGACCATGCCCTTCAGCCACCAATAAGCAACCTGAGTTTCTTGGGCAAGCCTGATAGTCATATGTTTTTCTCCCACAACAAATGCAGCTTGCAAAAGGAACGCTCAATAGTTGCTGCATGGAAGGTGGTCAATAGTTACACTCTGGCATGTTTAGTCACTCTAAGCTCCAATGAAACGAGAGAAAAGATGAATTCTCCCCATGTGTTATATTTCTCGCCAAAAATAGTCTTCGAAGCTGGACGAAGGATATATCAAATTCTCTTCCAG